CCCCAAAACCCCAAAACCCCGCAATGCTTTATAAATTATAGTATAGCTGATAAAAATTGTAATTAAAAATTTAATTTAATTATACTGCTTTCAAAATCAATACAGTTAGTAAAGAAATCCAGGGATGAGGCCTTTACTAACAGTTGTTTGGCTACTTTCTGCATTACCTAATTTGAAAATATCCATGTCAGGATTTTAAATCTTATCATATTCAATGCCTGTAATTGAGTAAAACATCTTACTCATTGAAACTTTTTATCGATACTGAATTGTCTAGCCTGCCTAAACTTTAATCCCTTTAGGAAATTTTTTGAATTTATATTTGAAGAAGTGGAATTCATTGACATCAATTGAACTGTATTGAACGTCTTCTATAATTAAATTGCTCTCATAAATATCACTTCCGTATTAATCAATGATTGAGTACTTATATTCTAGAGTGAATGGCTTTGGTGAATCTGTGTCAGACTGTTCGAATATTCCAACCCCATAAAAGATTATGCTTTTTTAGCACAATATTTTAATTCCATCCATTACACCATAGTACCCCCATCCTCCCTGTTTTTCACAATTTTGAAATCTTTGAAAGAATTTAGTTTGATCACCATCAAGATTTTTATCAGTTCTTATTCCATGTAGAACGATTTGCTAATTATTCTTAATCTACTCTTAAATGAATGTTTTGCTGAAATCTAATTCTTTTTCAAGATAAAAACCTTCTAATTCACACAGGTAAAGTTTCTTCATTGGCTATATCAACGATAGTATTGGATCTTTGATGTGAACTTTATGCTTTTAGATAGTAACCTAATTTTCAATTGTACATACTGTCTCAATCTATATCAAAAAGGTAAATTCACTCGCTTAGATATTCACTTTCTTAGGTTCTTCACTTTTCAATTATTAATCTATCTTTTAGTCAGTTTTATTCAAGATTATGCATTCCCAAGAATTTGGTAGTTATGATAAGTCTAGATTGGAGCCCATATCAATTTTAGCCTGGACATTATTGTCTCTTTCCAATACCACATAGCCATATTTCTCATGATAAGCTGTTTGATTTATCTCCAAATTTTATGATCGAATGTTCCTCCTTTAGATCACAACCTAATTGTTGTCTTTTGTTCCAAAATCTAGAGCTTTATCTTGTGTGTATCGTTGTATTGTAAGATAACTCCCGTTTTCCAATTCTTTCCAAACGCCTTAGTCTTTATGATTTTTATTATTAGGCATACTAGATATTTCTACACAATTGATAGATATTTTTTCCATTATAAAATTACTGACAAATAACTCTTCTCTATTTATAAGTTTTAAAATAATTGGTGATTGCTTCATAATTAACTTCAAGGGGTTTTGGGGTTTTGGGGTTTTGGGG